AATAACCAATGAAAGCTCTTGTCAGTACAACCAGCAGCACAACAGTGTTTGATTTAATACAGGGCTGCACACAGACGGCAGGGGCTTTAACTCCTGTCACTCTCATTTCTCATTAATGTTACTCTTAAAGAAGACAGGCCCTCTTCAAGCTGCCCATGTAGGTTTAAAGATATTGATGGGATGCTGTGAATGGAGGCTACAAGAAGTGACAACATTAAAAATAGTGTTTTAAATTAGTTTATTCGAGAGATAAGGGTATATTCAAATTATAAGTGTATTTGAGGAGGAGAGGTTTAAGTGGGCCATGTCCCCTTTTAGCCTGTTTTCTAGTCCAGCTTGAGCATACCACTTTCAAATATGTTTTAACATGTTGACAAATGACATGTTTTAACAGCATTCATCTTTTGGTTTCTCCATCAAAAACAAATTGCTCGGAAAAGGTGACGTGATAGTGAGAAACCTACTGTCAGTAGGTCCACGAACGAGGTGATTATGTGGTGTTGAAACTGCGAAGCTTCAACCAAAACCCTCTGGGACCTCCACAAGCCATAGGTCAGAGTTTGGGATTATTAGGACGGTCAACATTTATACTTTGAGCTAAACCAGCCACGTAAAAAAGAAAAAAAAAAGGGTTTGAAGACTGAGGGACGAGTGGATTTGGATCCAGTGCTCCACTTCTCTCCCGCTCTCAGACTTCACACCATGGTGCCACATTCCCCCTGTCAACACAGAGCAGGGGGATGTGTGTTTCTCCGTCTGTCTCGTGTGGGAAAGTGTCTGAGGTTGGCAGCGCACTACAAATTAAAATCACATTAGGTGCGTTATGTTGACGACAACGGCACAGCTGGCAAATGCTAGTATACGCGCTGTGACATTAAGATGGTTAACATTTAGCACATCTACAACCTCCCTTTAATGTGCATTTTAAAAGGCTTGTGCTGTACTGTGAATAGGGGAAACAAACCTTCTCAAAAACCACAACAGATGGCAATCTATTACAAACAGACACCATTTACATATTCTTAGCTGCAATGTTAGAGAAGCCTGCGCCTTTCTGCTGGTCTCTGTTCTGAAGTAAAGAAATACAACTAATCATTATTACTGTATAAAGAAACACCTGCACACATGTGGGTGTACAGTCCCAGAGAACTGACTTTATTCAGGTGATTTGTGGACAGAAGTGAAGCAGTTATTCTCCATTTGTTAAAGAGACAAAAGTAGGATTAGACTATGACAACACTTTGACTCCAATGAAAGAAGACATGATCCCCTGGGGAAGTGCATGTGATCACTGTGTGCGCACACCCACAGACACATGCAGACCAGCTCAGTCTCAGAGGTGACTCACAAATGAGAGGGCATATAGGGTAGGGAAAGTGACGTGTTATCCATCGTAGACCAGGACTGTCACAGGCACATAAAGATTCTCGGTGACCTCGCGCGAAAACGACAATGGCGACAATCTACAGCGCGGCGACTTCTTGTCCTTTACTAGATAACTTTGTATCGTCACGAGAATGTGAATGGAACTAATGAGCAAACTGGCTATAGAACTAACAACACGCTGAGGCATTTTGTTAGCTTAAGTCATTTCTTCATTAACCATTTACCTTCAGCTCCAATAGGTTCAACAAGTTATATTTGCTTGCCTACTCACCTATCCCTATCAGTACAAATGCTTAGGGATTACATTCGGGAATCGTGAAATACAATGGGTTCGCAAAAAGGTTTTTTTTTTTTTTACATTAAACCCCAGACGTCTTTTTGCATACATAACCTCTTCTTCCACACCGTTTTTTTCCTCAAGTAGAGCGGCCACCATTCACTGTAAGCCTGTTTACCAGCGCGCACTACCAGGATCACCAGCTTAGTGAGTGACATAACATTACATGAGAGAGGGATGATCTCACTAACACACTCATTCAAATCTATCACTGAGAGAGTGTGAACGTTTTCCTAAAACAGTGTTAGGTATCTCAGTCATTGCCAAATGTAGAGGGTCGGGGGAGAGTTGGGAAAAGGGAGCACCATGATGGCTTACAAACAAGTTGGAAAGTGTTTGGTCCATGGGCTCAACAGGTAAATCATCAAGTGAGGCCTCAGTAGAGCCGACTAGGAGAGTGAACATACTGACCCAATATGAGACTAAAACCAAGCTTGCCGTATGAACACAAATAGCTGCTGTGTTAGCACATAGTCCTGCTACCTGTTTGCAGAAGCTTGAGATATTCGTGCTGAGCCAACGCGGGTTACAATAAGGCACGTCACTGACCCCAAAAGCTTACATCTAGACCCACCTACAACAGAGAGCTGGCCCTTTTAATCCCCTCATGTGGCGACATGATAAAGGCTTGGATTAAAAGCTAGCCAGTCATCCAGTCACTCAGTCAGTCAATACTGCAGCCAGCCAGCCTGCCTGCCTGCATACTTACATTATCATCCCCACTGCTTTACTCACCCTTTACTGCACTGGACGAGCAGAATTAAGCAGATGCGTAAGGCCAGGCTGGGGTTGTATATATCTATAATGCAGTGTGCCATAAGAACCACAATGCCCGGTGATCTATAAATACACTGGAGAGACCCTTCTGCCCCAGTGGATACACACTGAAGTTGTTGATCGGACAAATGCAGTGTGTTTGGAGTATTTAAATTAATATAATGGATGGATTTCTGGTTCAATGTACTTAGTATGGGTTATCCGTTACTAAGGCTCTGCATTATAAGAATTAAAAAATATGCCCCCCCCCTCTACAGTTTCTCTTTACATCAAGCTTTTGTTGACATGAAGAATATCCTACACATACAATAATACAAACATTATAAAATGATACTTTCTGATTGGATATAAACAGAGTGACTACAGCGGGTCCCAAAAAAAAAAAGTATAGTTTAAAGTTTCTACCAACTAAACCTCAAGTTTTCGTTCAACATACAATACCATGTATTTGTTAAAAATCAGCCAACCTTAGAAAATAATATAAAGTAGAGATTTAAAAACAAGTCTGATGCTAGTTTCAAGAATAACTAAATGTCTCTTTATTTCAAGAGATACTTAATTATAAACCTCTTGATATCGTGATATTTTTACAAAATAAAATGCCCGCATGTTTTGGAAATGAGCTCTCTACCATGGTTCTGTATGTGAACTTCGTCTCCTCAATAATCCAGATGTGGCTGTCGCTGTCCAGATTGTCCGGTTTTGGGCTGCCCCCTAAATGTGTTTCCGCCTGTAGGTCCAGTGCTCCTGGCTGCTGGTTTAGTTCCATATGCCTGCTTGCTGTAACAGTCTGAGGAACGTAAAGCCGTCTGCTCGCAGCTGCCGTCGGTGCGCAGTCCATTCTCAAACTGTACTAACCATGCTCTCCTCCTATTGGTCTTCTACTGGGGTGTTCTTTGGGGTTGTCTAACGGGATGGGATCATTGTCTGGGTGTATCAGTGGGTGTGGGAGGCGAGTGCATCCCATCCGACTTGTTCTGTCCCTTAGTTTCACCCCGACAATAACCCAACCTTTTGATTTCCATCCCAAATCGTTCATCGTGAAAACACGCTAAACAAGTATTTATGCATTAATGTCACAGTGGGGAGGGACAACACACTGAGTTTAACCCATTTTTTTTAAGCATTGTTCTTGTTAAGATGCATGTCTGCAGGAGTCAATAAATCAGAGTCGCTCATCATACATATATCTAAAATCAATTCCTGAATGTGACCACCACTGATAAAGTGCACTACAGTGACCACAGGCTATAAATCACTGTCAACTGCTAATAATAAGTCCGATCAGAGGAACAGAGCTGGAAGCTTCCTCAAAGGATTCCTTATCAAAAACGTGTTCTTTTCCTTGAACCTTGCCCTTCATATCCACTTCTGCCCTAATCAAGGATTTGTGAGACACAAAGATAAGATGCATTTAGGGCATAACCACAGCCAAGTAGTTTTTTGGGATCCTTGCTCACCAAGAAAAAAAAACAGAGACATGCTAAGTCAGTCCGACCTCTGAATTAAGCCACAAGAGCAGGAACTCCCTTCACTGAATCACTGAAGTATAGGTGCTCTAAAGGCTAAATCAGGCTTGTGAAAACTAGGTGACAGCAGTGCCCTGGGGTCACGGATTACTGACTACTGTTGTGTCTGAGTTAGATCACACACACCCCTTGGGTGGCACTGAATTAGTCAAACTAAAAACGAGCAGGACATGTACTGCAAGCTATGAACTGTACATCTGAATATCCTAACCTGAGGTCAACAAGGAGCAAAGGTCACTTGAACCTTTACTTCATCTACATTATGTTTGCCCAATAAGATAGCTCTGCTCTTACTGACACAAGCACACTTTAATCATTTGCCAGCACCCTTCTGCAATACGATACCACGTGTCTAAGTTACTAGTTAAAATTAACTATTTTTCTTCTTGCTGCACAAGGAAAACTGATAACGTCAACTGTAAATGTGCTCACACAGCAACTTAGGTTTCATTTAACCGACTGTTTATTTTAACATCCTGTTATGTATATTATGTAATGCGTAACGTTATTTTGTTGCGCATGAAGCCAAACATCCGAAAACCAACCAAACAATAAGTGTGAGCTATGGTTTTTTTTTATTATTATTATTATTAAAAGAAGTGAATAGCGACCTCTTTTTCTTCAAAACACCCAATCTCAACAAAAACTTGTGAGCACAGTCGGGTACTTTTGCCCAGCTGCCGAGTTCATGTCCTACAGATTTAGCCATGTCAGCCTCACAGAAATGGGTACACCTATTTTTAAAGAGCCCCTTATTATTACACCCTCCACGGTTGTTATTAGCCCAGAAGACCATTATTAAAAGCGTCAGCTGAATCAGCTAGCCCGTTAGCATCGCCACACAATGCCAGCTTTTCCCAGCGAGCTCCACATTGCGGCGAGGTGCTTCTTAGTGGTGGTCCAATAACATCCGAGAATGTAGAGCTGAGGAGAGAGAGGAGGGGGACGGAGAAAAACGTTGTCTCACTCACCTTCTTCATCCGCGGTGCTTCGGCAACGGTACCGTCACGGTTGACAAAAGCCTCTCCGCCGTTCTGCTGCGGGTCCGACCGCTTCATAGCCGACGCCTGGGGCATCTTCGCGGGGTTCGGGGTGAGCAAGCCCAGGCTGCCTTCCCCGGCTTTCGCGGAGGGCTCCGCTGTAGGGGAAGCAGCGGCAGAGGAACCGGCCTCGTGTGGGTCGTTTCTGCCGAGGGTCTTGCCCTCCGAGGTCGGTGTCATCGGGGAACCGGCCGGCAAGTCTTTCCCGGTGGGGACGTCTTTGAGTTCGACCTCTGCCATTTTCGCTGCCACAACCTGGACTGACATCGCTGCAGTTTCACAAAGTCCTTTTTCCAACACAAATAGCAGGTCGAGCGGATGTGAGCGGAGGAGCGACGACGGATGAATGCATTGTGGTTCCTGTAGTTCCTCTCAAGTATCTCAAAGACCCCCCCCCTCCTCCTCCCCTCCCTCCTTATGAGCCACCACCAATACCCATGAAGGCAACACGACTGACATTTACATTTACAAAACGTTAGTCAACAAGAGGAAAAAACAATAACACCACTGATATATGCATTTCAAAAAGCTCGGGGGGGAAAATTTGCCTAATTGACCAAGCGACTACATTTCCCAACAGGAAAAGGTACACTGCGAAATGCACTATGGGAAGTTGTGTTTGTAATAAAAGAGGACGACACTAAATTACAAACAAACGCGCTTTCTGCCAGATAATGCAGTGTGCTCACAGGGCTTACATCGCGTTTAAAATTAGACAGTCATTTTCAGAATGATGTGCTTATTTCTCAGGCGTGAAGATTAATATATAATCATAATAATAATCTTTTATATTATTATAATAATATACTATATTACTATAGTATATTATGAAGGGCATGTTGTTACATCACAAATTACCTAGCAATACAGTTTGGCCTCAACCAATATTGACCCAAAATTATTTTAATAATACTTTAAATTGTCAATCAGCCTCAAGTCATTCACTGGACACTGCTGCACAAGACACTGCATCACATTACAGCGCTCATGCGGTGGATATGCAGTATTATGAGACCAGCAGTAAGGTCAAATCATATAAAGTGAACTACATTGCCACCAAGTGGATGCCCACCATAGTCAAACAAAAGCTTCAACTGTTTCTTTTTTAATATCTCAATTTTATTTTCAACTCTCCTGACATTTGTAAAATGGCATTATTGAAAACAAGCAAACATGTAGAAAGATTGAAACGTAACTAATGGCTGACACAAGCAGTCAGGATAAATGGCATTCAGATCTCTTTTGTAAAAGACACTATATTGACTTTGGTGATTCAAACCTTTTTCCCATTTGTTCTCCATCACATATGAAAAGAATCAACACTTTACATACTATGTGTTGCAGCGTAGTACTAAGGGAAGCTTCGCAATGACTGAATACTTCAATACTTGAACTGTTTGTGTATTGCTTCCGTTTTCACAAGACCAATTTCATGTAAGTGACTTCAAGCATGTCAGGACCATCTCTACTGTAGAAGACATTCATTCAACTACAGGAACAAAAAAAACAGCATACCAGAAAAAGGAATAAAAGCCACACATACTGTATTCATTCATTCATGCTAAACGGGTCCGAGCCCTTTTAACACCCGCCAGATAAATCTGAGGTATATTATTTACAAGGCTGCCATGCTGGTACATTCTCAAAATACAAAATCAGAAAACCAAACAGTGTTAAAAAATACAACTCTGCATTGCATCATAAGCACGCTGTGGTGTCACATACTTAAAATGTCAATGACAATACAGAATGTTGCCAAAGTTGAGAAAATGTCCCAAAAATATGCATTCATCGTCTTTCAAAGTGAAGTGCTGCTTTTATGATGTGCCCCTAAAAGAGCAGTCCTTAACTTGAGGTGGTATTCCAACCAGAGTAGCCACAGCATTGTGGGAAGGGAGGGGATACCCACTTGAGGCTTTTTGTTGCTTGTAAAAGACGGCGCATCAGTCTTCGTATATCCACAAGATGTTCACACCAGAGAGGCCAAGATTTACTCTCCTGAAGACAGTATGAAAGGCAATTTAATTATCCTGCAGACAAGCAGGGTCAAACCAATCATTTTCAATCAAAATGCTATCTGCCCTTTGGTGTGTGACCTTTTTGTTGAAAATTAATCAATATTTCATTATACTCTCAATTTTCTTCCCACCTTTATTTATTCAGGGGGGTTTCACTGAGAGCAATACTCTCTTTTGTAAGAATGTCCATATCACATTCCCACCTGGAAGCTGCCCAGTATAAGCAGTTTGATATCTGCTAGCCACTGAGCAGCTCCACTGGAGCAGTTGGGGTTAAGGGCCTTGCTCAAGGGCACCTCAGTGGTGGCAATGACGGAGGGTCAATTTCCCCACTTAACCTTTAGGCTACATACTTTTGTTAAAGATTATTTGAGCTATTCAAGCTTTTATAGCATTTTAAGTAGAAGTACTCACCCCAGCATCCCTGACTCCTTAGTCTTAATGACATAGAGGAACATGAGGATTGTGTGGAACAGGTTGTTCCTGCCCTAGAAACAGAAATCAACATAGGTTCATGTTATTGCAATTGCAAGCGTTACAGTAGAGGAAGACATCCTGAACTGCTTACGAACGAGAGTCTGTTCTGATGCCCTGAATTTGCTGGCTTTGTTAGATGTGGGGATTACTGGAATAAAGAAGGCCCCTGGATACAAAGCTCTTCATGCTCCATCAGTGTATAACAGAGCAAATCCAGTCCACCTGTTTGAGTCCCATTTAAAATGAACTCTCAATCGAAGACAACAATGAAAACATGAGGTGGGACCCAGTCTAACAAGCCAACGATAAAACAGTCAATAAAGTGTTCCAATTCTATTTAGTAAAGGGCAGAAAAACAGCAATCATTCAGTTTCATCTTTGGCCATACATCATTAAATTCTAGCTGCAGATCTCAAACATAAGACCCTGTATGAACTAGAATGTTAAAAACTGATTTATTTCTCAAAAGTCTTATAGGTTATGTTGAAAAAGCTGTACTGCGCAGTAATGCAGAATATGATGTCTCACTGTTGAGAATGTGTGCTACAATACCCCCTGTTTATTTCTATGTCCTTTATATTTATTATTCTGCATTTTATAAGCATCTGGCAAGTTCAATCCTTAAGGGAGCCATTAAAGAGGATTTGATCTTATGTTTGATTTACAGGGCCACCTCAGGGAGACGTATAAATAGCACAACTCAGAGGGTACAAAATAAGAAAGCCGTGAGACAGACTTCTCTTGGGATTTGATTTTAGGGGCAAAATACGCACACAGGCTGTTTTGTAAGAGCCTGAAAAACTGGTTGCTTTTGCTGTCACCTTGGGTAGACTGTAGATATGTCCCTGGTAGATGAGCTGGTAGTGAGGAGGAGTGGTGCTGCTTTGGTGGACGCAGAAGAGGTTCTCCTTCGTAACATCTATGGGAGTTGACATAAAAAAGGGACAAGAGAACAGAAACACCATGAGGAACTTAAGTATGACGTCAAAGATAGAAAGTAGGTGCTGTGTTTCAAGAATGAGAAACATACAGTGGAAATCACAAGCGTGTGTGCACTTACCGGGTTTGTCTGGGGTGTGGCTGAAGTGCTGTGAAGTGAAAGTCTTCCCGTCTGGATACTTTGGATGCGGGGGCAGTCTGGAGTCCAAGTATGTACAAAACATATGCATGAGGATCTAGAGGGATAGAAAGTTATTAAGCAGAGGTATTTTACTGGTAAGCCCACACTGACAAGGAAAAACTACCCAGTGTGTCATGTTTACAGCTCCTATCCCGCAGTCTAAAGACTCAAAGAAGCAACAACATTGTGAAAGAAAATTCTGTTATAGATAAAATAATGAACCAATAAATCAAGAAAATAGAGTGATGATAATTGGTTGTACTACTCACTTTGCGTGTGTGTGTGTGTGTGTGTTTGTTTGTGTGGACTCACAGCACAGTCAGTAGGGAGGTCTGTGTCCCACTTCCTGTTCTTCAGGTCTCCACCACCATTCCAGCGAAAGGAGCTCATGCAGCCGCTGTGGGCCAGCTCTGACAGGACAGAATATACAAAAACACACATTAAAACATGTGTTCTTCCACTATAATCTAAACCCACACTGCATTGTTGAACTTACCCTTTATGCGGTCCACTAGATACTCCTGGTTGGGAGTGATGTCCAGATACTGAACGATAGAGTTCATAGTGGGGATGGACGAGGCTTTCATCACCGCTGCCTGTTTCAGGCTGCTTATGCTGGCCTCTGGTGGAGGAAAGAGTGAAAACTAGTGAGACTCCAAAATTACGAGAAGAGTACATTGAAATCACAGTAACGGCTACTGTAATTTATTTAATATTTCAGAGTAGGTTTTTGCTATTGAACTGGACATGTGTGTTACAAACTCCCTAAACAAACTGCTTGTTTTGCTGTGCATTGTACTTGTCTTTTTAATTTCATGTCTGAGAAAATCTAGAAAATGCAAAACAAAATGAAAACATTTTCCTTCAACTTAACTTTGCATGTTCAAGTGCTATAGCTCATTATCCCCCCCCCAAAAAAAAAAAATATGACAGCCATAACAGTGTCTAACAGTTAATATGTCTAAGACATAAAATACGTTTATATTCTATGGTCTTTGATCTATGACTCAGTTTATGGCATTCCCATTAAACCCAACAACAGCAAGGACAAAGCACATTTCCCATGATTCATGTTCTCTGCAGATAGTTTACCTCCTATCTGGAGCTCAGGGCAGCCCATCCTCCTGAGCTGACTGTTGACAGAGTCTATTTCCTTGACCAGGGGAACCAAGATTGTGTCACTGATCCACTGCAAAAGATACAAATAGAAATAGATTTGTTTTCTGATGTAATTTTCTTACTCAAATGCAATTATGTCTGTACATATGTTTGAACACTCACGTTTCTAAGCTTGGCAGTCCAGCTATCAATGCGGTCCACTACAGGGCGGCTGGTTGTGATTCTGGCCCACACCTACATAACAGGAAAGAAGAGATTTTACGCCAGTCATACATTCTACTCCGACACAGGCAGACTCAGATGGCATGAGTTGGTTTTGAAAAACGTTTTTCTCTTTATTAGTGCATGACAAAGCATACAGTGCTATTTTACAGACCTCCTCTGCAGCCTGTTTGGAGCCCAGGTCCGTCTCATCCTTGTGGGCTGACGGGGCCTGAGAGCGGCAGGCTGGCTGGTACAGGAACTTCCTCAGGCTCTGGGCGTAATCTCCCACTGAGCGGTTGTAGTTCCAAAATGTTGGGCTGTGGTTCGGAGAGACAGCCTCGGGACTCCCTATAGAGAGCATCAGTTCATCATGACATCTGAGGGGTTTCACTGATGATCACATACATGTCTACACTGTGTTCCAAATTAATATATTGATATACTGTTTTGTTATTTTCTTACTAAATAGTCGATATTAATTGCAGTCAAAAGGATTTTTTATTCCTAAGACAATTATATCGTCAATCTGGATTTTATTAAACACAATTACCCATGATGAAACAAATCACATTTTTTTGCAAGATAACTAAAATCTGACTAGGTGTTCCAAATTATTATGCAAAACACAGTTTCTAAAAGGATTGAAAACCGAAATCTGTTGTATTTTTTGCATTAGAGGGGATAATTTTTCTCAAATCAAAGCTATTTAAATCAAAAACATCTTTAAAGATCGAGTTACATATTAACATAGGAGCCCTTCTTTGA